GAGCCCTATTCACTCATCACGAAAGGTGTGATGCTCATTAGTGCAGCCCTTTGAGTCTGTTTTGGGAGAATGAATAGATATTTTAAAGGTGTCCGTGTAGACACCCGTGTACATGGTGTAAACGTGGGAAAATGGCCTCCATTGGTCATGACAGCTAAAAGCCAGTATACAGACCAGATTTTGAGAACAAGTAAAGGGAAAATACTGTACTGGACACAGTCAGCCAGCCGGGATTTGTAATACCCTAAAAAGTCAGTCATACAGCAGTCATTATACAAACAAATATTTACCTGATTGTGTTTTCCAATCAGAATCAAGTATTCCAGAGAGATGCGTAATAATTTGTGATACTGGCCAGCTGACTGTAAATCATCCCACTTGCATGGCTACTTACCAAATAATAATTAAATGAATTAAAAAGGAAATATTGATTTCAGTTTGAATTTTTGATTAGGTGAGAAGAGAATTCAGAGTGATATGAAACTAGCACAACTATGTAGGGAATGGATTGCCACTGACAACTAGTGGTTGACCAATATGAATTTTTCAGTGTCCATTGCCTATACTAATATGTACATATCAGGCTGGCCAATACAAGACATGATACACAAAAAGTTCAACTGAAATTTTTTTTGTACATATTTACTAAAAATTGCATTTAAAAATATAAATTGATTAGCTGGCCATACATTTTAAAACTAAACACAAGTAATGATACAAGTAATGAGTAACTCTTCGGTTTATTGACCAGTTGGACATATGACATTGAAACTTTTAATGAGTTTTCTGTTCCTCTAAATTTTGATGCTTCAAAAAGTTCACAAAGAGATTGTAAAAGTAATCCTTATGAATTGAGCAGTTTAATCCAAATATTCTGAAGAGACACGACCACTTTATATGATGAACAGACACATACATAGAGCACATCATATATGGTCAACAGAAGCTCATTGATTGACGCACAAGAACCAATTAGGTTGGTTCTCGCTCATCAAGCAAGTATGGTTGAGCTTCTGTTTACCAAATTTCATGTGTTGTATGTATGTGCATCGATCAGTGTTTATATGTGAATAAAAGCCTATGTTTTTCATATAAAACTATTGTGTCTCTTCAGAAGGCTTAGATTAAACTCTTCCATTCAAATGGATTATGTTTACAGTACAATGTTTGACTTTTGTAAACCATCAAAGTTTTGGCTACATGAACTTTTAATGGAGGAACTCCATAAATCCATCACTCCTTCACAGATATGCATTTGTGTTTTGAAGATGAACCAATGTCTGATTTGTAATGACATGAGAGTAGTTATACATACAGAATGTACATCCTATTACTCATTTAAATAGAATTTAAGGAATTGGCTTCTTTATACTCAGTTGTTTTCTACATCCATAACAAGACTATATTAATATGAAACTTTTATTATATTTGTGTATTATGTGCTGCGTATTTGTATTTAATTGAGCTGCATGGGTTGTTTTCTGTATTGTACCCTTATTCACTCTCTCTCTTTCTCTAATTTTTGTTTTGTTTTTTACGCTACATTTCTCGGATACATTTGTGTTTATTTGAATGTTAATTTCTGTACTTTGTCCCTTTTAAAATAAATAAAGAGATTAAATAAATTGATGACAGAATTGCAGGGTTTAAAGTTCTCCGGCACCATGCCGGTGTTGTGCCCATTTTCGACTCCCTGCCAAATTATTACC